GAGACTGTTTTCTGCTAATTCAGAAAACTGATAGCTGACATTTTTCAAGATATCCCAATACATAACATTTTTAAAGGATAGAAAGGAACAACTTAATATAATGTTCAGGTTCAAAAAGGCAGGGGCTCAAAACATAAAGGAGGGAAATTAAAAATTTGTGGAAGAATGCACAGCAGCATTTTTTTTCACCTGAACTTTGTAACAGGACCTTCTATACCACAGGTCGGCAACCTGCGGCTCTGGAGCCGCATGCGGCTCTTTGAGCCTTCCCCTGTGGCTCCCAGCCTCCTCTGCAGAGAGAGACAGAGACAGAGAGAGGCGATTGCACTTCCCTGCTTCTCTCTCTCTCTCTCTCTCTCTCTCTCTCTCTCTCTCTCTCTCTCTCTCTCTATGTGTGTGTGTCTGGGTGTGTGTGTGTGGTGTGTGTGTGTGTGTGTGTGTGTGTGTGTGTGTGTGTGTGTGTGTAAAAGAGAGTGCACTCACAGTGTTCTCTGAGCAGCTGAAAAGCTTACTGGGCGGAGCTCCTCCCTTTGCTGCGTCTCTGAAGGAAGCAGGAAGCAGGAAGGGCAGGAGAGAGCTAGCTAGCCCAGCTAGGCTGACTCAGGAATTCTGGGAGTTGAAGTCCATGAGTCATAAAAGAGACAGGTTGCCTACCCCGGAGGTTGTTGGACAACAGCTTGAAGCTTGCCAGGTGAGCAGCAGATAGGAGGGGGGGGGAGAAAGAGAGAGAGAGAAAGAGAGAGAGAGGGAGAGTGAGTGAGTGGGGGAAGAGGAGTGGCAGACCAAGGGCAGATAGAGAGGGAGGGAGAGAGAGACCCTTTTGACATCTAAAATGAAGATAACACTGCATATATCCTTTTTCTACCTGTGTGTGTATGTAATTTTATTCTCTTAAAGCATTCTCTTGGTGATCATTGTTTTAATAGTATGGATATTCCCAAGAGTCATATTTTTACTTTTATTTTTAATGTGTATATGTGTGTGTGTGTGTGTGTGTGTATGTATACACATATACACATACACATACACACACACACATACACATACACACACCTATAATAAAGGTAAAAAAGGATATATGCAGTGTTATCTTCATTTTAGATATCAAAAGGGTTTTGCGGCTCCCAGTGTTTTGTTTTTGGTGGGAAACGGGTCCAAGTGGCTCTTTGAGTGTTTTGGGTTGCCTACCCCTGTTCTATACAATAAGAGTTTCACAATTTCCATTTCTAGCAAAAGCAAGATGTTAATTTCACACCAGGCAAAAGTTGGCAAAGCATTTTTCTAAGCACGAGTCTTTGGGTTCCTTATAGGGTTCAATATTTTTCCTTCCTAAAGAAAAATGTTCAAATTCTCTCTAAACAAAATCTATTTGCAGCTCAGAATATGCAGATGCAGACATGAAGATGTGCAATTCAATTTATCTTGCAAATTTTTGATATACCTCTGTTATTTTATATCAGGACAATCACTTGATACACATTATTTATTTCAGATTAATATGCATTCATATTGTAATAATTAGGGGAAAAAATCTCACCTACATAGATTTCTTAGTTTTCCCTTCAAGACAGAAATGATACGTTATTAGAGAGAACATCTCTTTTAATTCATTTTTCCTTTTTAAAATAAGAAGCTACCAATAATTCCATAGCATTTAATTAACTGCTAAGCGTTTTTGTGAGGTGGGAGAAGGGGAGAATAACAAATTGTTGTAAACTGCCCAGAGACACCTAGATGAAATTGGTGATTCCAATGGAAAGAAAAATCGTAACACTAAGTCATTTCAGACCTAAAAATATTATGTTTTAACATGCATTCTTAAGTCCTTTCAGGCTCCATGTTTTAACTTAGCCTTGTCCATTGTGGCCTTTCAGATGAGTTGATCTTCAATTCCCATTGGGTTTGCTAACCAATGTGGTTACCAATACTAGTTTGGGGAAAGATAACATTTTAACAATCCATATAAAAATGTCTGCTTCACTTCTAGAATTATCAAATAATAAATACAGCAATGTAGTTAAACTCATTGTGGAGACTAAGATGAAGTTGCTCTTGAAAACTTTTCCAACTACCCATCTGACTGGTATCATGGTTGTAGCAGAAGGTAATGGCTTTAGTACAATAGAAATAGAAGAGAAACTCCAATAGGCTGACACTTTCCATTAGTATGTTCTTATGATTGAGAACCAGAAAAAAAAAAAGATTTCATCTCCAAATAAACCATGCCCTATGTTACTTTTTAGAAATTATGTCACTTTTCCAAGGTTGGAAATAGGATGCGAGAGTTTTCTATAGTTTGGGGGTTAGAATCTCTGTCTACTGTGTATTGTCAGTGTACCAACCAGAATTTATCTATAGTCTGACAAATCTGCTCCTCTGCCCTCTGAAAAACTAGGTTCCTTTCCCAATATGTGTAGCTCCTATCCATGATTGCCTGTCTCAAATAGAATTCAGAAGAATTACCTTTTAAATTTTTCATATTGTAGGGATATGCTTTCAGGGATGTAATGGGCAGTAAAATTCAAAAGCCCAACTTCTTTAACCAGTGCTAGATTTCCATTATTGCTGAACATCCTGTATTATTGGCTTAGTTAGTTCATTCTGTCCCACCATTCGTTTGAGGATGGTGACTAGAACTCAGGCCCTGGTCTGTTCCCAGGAGGTCCAAAAATGCTCTCCAGAACCTAGAAGTAAATTGGACACCACTGTCTGAAATTATGCGATGTGGGGCCCCATGTAGGTGGTAGACATGGTGGAGGAACAACTTTGCTAGAGTCTTTGCTTTTGGGATTTTTTTTGACAAGGTGTGAAATGGACCTGCTTTGAAAATAGGTTGGTCACCACCCAAATAACGGTGTGTCCCACACTTTCTGGCAATTCTACAATGAAGTCCATAGAAATTTCTCCTCAGGGTGCTGAAGGGTTTGCGGCCAGCTGCAGAAGGCCAAGTGTTTTCCCCTGCCTTAAGGGAAGCGAGGGCATGTGGGTGGTCGTGCAGTGGGAGCTAGGGGCAGGGACAGCCCCATGCTCTTCAGGCCCTGGTGGGTGCTGTAGTTCTCATGCCAGCTGTGCGAGGGGCATGAGGGTGCCCCTAGCTGCTTTTGGCCTTTTGGCTATCCCAGGGGGATTCTGTTGCTGTTGCTGTTTCCGCGCCTGGTCCACGCCCCATCACTGCCTCCCAAGCCAGCCGACACACATGAAAATCCTGTGCAAGCCAAGCCAAGCCAGCAGAAAAGGTGGAGTTTGGAGTTTGGAACCTCGCTGGCACCAGCTGCATGCTACCGGTATTTACTGGTAACACTAAGTGCCAAGACTGGAGCCCAGACCAAGGGGGGAGCAGCGGTGTCAGAGTGCTCCATACAGGGGAGGGAAATTCTGCTGTTGCTGTTGACAGAGAATAGAAGCTTCATCTGCTTAAAAATGGGGCAGTTGAAAACAGTGAATCCCTCCACTTTCAACCACCCCATTTTCAAACAGACAAAGCTTCCAGTCTCTGTCATTTCTCCAAACAGTGTGTGGAGCATCCAGATCCCGTCTCCCCCCCCCCCCCCGCCTCCACGCTGGACTTAACTACGCTGCTTCAAGGGGTGAATGGGCTGCAGTTGCTGCTAGACACATTCCGCCCCCATGCACTCAGTGCCCCTTGTGCTGGCCATGCCAGCTTATTTTGGGGGCTTATTTTTGGAGTATGGCTTATATTAGACCCACACCCCAAAATCAAGTTCAGGCTTATTTTCAGGGAAACATAGTAACTATACTGTAACTTTATTGCTTGTATCTTAAAATTTATATTAATTTATTTAGGATCCTAGTATGATTTATGTTGATTGTTTATTTAGTACTTTTATTTACAGTACTGAGTGTTGTATCTTATGATTTATGATGCATATATTTTATGATTATGATTTATCACTTGTTGCTTGTATGTACACTGAGAGCTTATTCATTGCAGACAAATTCTTTGTGTGTCCAATCACACTTGGCCAATAAAGAATTCTAATTTTAATTGTAATATGTAAAAGCCTATCACCAATGTATTTAAATAAAATAAAGCAAAAATTAAACATCTTTGAGAATTGCAAGTCATAAATCAAGGGTTTTAATTGATCACAACTAACTCTTAAAATATCACTTTCCTCCATAGATAAGTGCATTTAGTGCAGAGAATAATCGTGTGTACATATAAATCTGTATTTGTATCCCTATGTATGTCTTACAAAAGGAAAATGTAGCCTCTGTTCGCTTTGGATAATGGTATATTTGCAAATAGGGCAAATCCCATGCTTTAGCAACCAGAGGTCAATACAGTTTTGTGGAAGATATGCCTGCAAATTAAAATCCAGACTATCTCTCTTGGCTTGTAGCTTTCTAAGCAAACCAATAAGTATCTTCTGCCAGATCAAATTCATCCTTGTTTAACTTCCGCAATTCAAGAGAATGAACATCTTTCTGGAGTTCTGATTTCACCATTTGGGTTCTCTGTTCATGCTTTATCATAATCTGCTCTGAAGAACAGTAGAATAAAGCATAGGCTACAATTATCCTAACAGTAAAAAAAACCACAGAGATATATATTCAAGGGGCACTGAATTGCTTTCACTCTGATTTGGACAGTTTTTTGGTTCCCACGCCAAATCAAACAAAGATGGTGCTTTTGTTTCAAGCTGTTCATCATGATGTCAGGACTATCATCTGCATCCTTCTGAATCAAAATAAAACTTTCTCTTTCTGGAAACAATTGATCATAAATAATGACACCAGCAAACCTTTCTCTGGTACAACCTTGATTTTCTTTTGAAAAATGCAGATTCTTCTCACAAGAATTACAGTGCAGTCCTCGTTATTTGTTGGTATGTGGAACCAAATATCCAGGCTGCAATAATCTTCACCTTCAGCCTCTGGAATCACCAACTGCCCCACCATCCTCTTTGAAGGGAGGTACTTTTCCAAGAAAGCTAGAAAATTGTTTTTTGGCCTGGTTTCTCCAATAAATTGTTAGATTCGTGGAATATACAGAACCACCTGCAACTTTTAAGTAAAACAATTCAATAATAAGGAAAATGCTGAACACCAGGTTCCAGCACCACAAAACCTCTTTTCCACAGTTATTATGAAGCTTCATTCTTCTTGAACAAATGGCAACAAGAAAATCCAAGTGTTGATTCACTTGAGAAAACTACCAAAGTACTGCAAAACATTTCAGCGTCAAACATCTTGCTGACTAATTAGAAAAAACACGCAGTAAGCTCACAAACATGTAAATCCCTACTTAACTACTTTTTCCTAGGAACTCCTAGCAAAAAGAGTGAATGCTTTTCTCCATTGCTCACAAATTTTACAACAGTAATTTGGAATAGAGCTGCAGTCATTGTGACATCAGAACTAGCTCTATGGCAGATTCCCTCTCAACTCATAGATACCCTACAAGAACACAGAAATCAGGAAACTTGAGGTAGGCTGAATAGCTTAACCCTTGGTTAACATTGTTCCTCAATCCTCTTGATACCTTACTATTCTTTTGAATTCCAGCACAGGTTAGAAAAGAGAATTATTTGCTAGCTAATTAATTTAGCTGTGTGATTTGTGTTCTATCTACAAAAAATGGTTGTCTATAACATGATTATTGTAATAAGCTTCCTTTTTATTTGATATCTTTATGCTTTTCTAATTGTCTTTAAACACATTTCCTATCTGTAGTACCTTAGTCTTTCTTTTCCTTTCTTTTCCTTTCCTTTTTCCTTCTCTTCCCCTTTTCCTTTCCCCCTTTTCAAGGTAGTTGTTTAGAATACAGCCACAAGCTTTTAGAGAACTTGCACTGATACTTGCGACTTTTAGTACTATAGGCTGTTTTGGGACAATACAGAGAAACATTGTATCACATTTAACGTAAAACAACAACATCTATAGTCTTACCAATTCATTTGGTAGTTGTGGCATAGCTTCAATCAGCTTTCAGAGAGGTTACAACTCTCTACACCACCAGCCAAAATTCTGGGAGTTGTAGTCCCAACCAATTTGGGGAGCACCAGGCTGAGGAAAACACCTAAAGCTTTTAATTGAGAGGGCTTCCATTCTGCAAATGTTGAGAATCCCGTTCAGTACAAGGCAGGTTTGTCAAACATGCGATGTCACGTAATGTCGCGCGATGTTATCAGAACCTTTTTCCCATTGCCAGCAATGGGGTAGGCACAGTTTCCTCATGACGCATCTGGCCTGCAGGCTGGCAGTTTGACACCCCTGACTTAGATCAGTGTTTCTTAACCTCAGCAGCTTCAGGATGTGTGGATTTCAATGCGCAGAATTCTGCAACTTCCAATAGTCTTCCTTAGTAATTTCCTGAATAGATCAGCATTTTGATCAATGATTTATCTGCAATCAGTATTTTTAGTTCTGAATAGTTAACAAATATTTTATAATTACATTCTGGACTGCCTCTTTAGCATCATTACATATGACAAGTTTTGTACATACCCTATATTTAGTTTTGAAAAAATAATAGGTTATTCCCTACCCTTAGGGCAGGGGTGTCAAACTTCTGACCCGCGGGCAGGTTTCATCATACCGAAGCCACACCCACCCCATTGCTGGCAATACAAAAGAGTCACAATACATCACAATATGTCACGTGACGTGGCGAGTTTGGCACCCGTGCCTTAGGGAGATATTTCAATGGAAAAAACTATGGAAGTTTATAGGAAACTCCAATTCTATACAAAGCTATACTTAATTTGTTATGTATGCTTTCCCAACTGTTTTTTTTTACATATTCTAATCTATGAAATTGTTTTTGAAATTATTAAAATATAATCAAATAGGGTGAAACAATCTGAAAAAATAACTGTATCAGGTGAGAATTTAAACATGGAGTTCAGCAGCTTGAATAATATACAATAATCCCAAAGTGATTAAGAATACAAAAATCAAAGTGTAGAGAGTTGGAGAGTTGATGCAAACACAGGCTAATGCAGGAACATATACTGAAGGCTTCTGGTGGAGTTATATGCCATATATCAACAAAAGTATGTTCAGTTCTTTGCCCAACAGATTTAGTATGGCATTTGTAGTTAGAACCAAACAAACAAAAAAGTGGCTTGTAAAAAACTAAATAATTCTGTAAATCACAGGTAAATAAGGCCAAAAAGGAAAGAAAGCAAAAGCCCCACTATCAGATTTTTTTTTTTTTACAAAAACCGAAGCAAAACATAATGACCAATATCAAAGAATTAGACTTTATAATATACCAAAGGTATGGCTTTATGCTTCAAACAAATTAAATACATTCATGGATTTCTGTGTACTCAACACTTAGAGACATATTACAATTACACAGCACATATTGGATGCAATTGTGCTGTACTCGAGTGGACAACAGCTGGATAGGTGGAGATGACCTCCAGATATATTACTATGTTACAGCTCCCATTAAGTCTCACCATTTGTACCCTGACTAGAGCTGAATGGAGTAGAAATTTAACCACATCTCAAAGATACAGTTTGATTTACAGTGTCATTTAATCAAGTTAGGAAGAAATAACCAATCTGGTACAACAATTAGCATATATTCAATAAAAGAAAATAAAAATAAAAAAGGGGGGGGTAACAATGATCACAACAAGAAGGTCCCATATCTTTTATTGAAACTTCAGAAAATTCTACAAACTATTTCCACTGTTGGCATATAGGTCTACCTTGGAATTTTTATTTACCTAAATATTACATTTCTAGCAAGTGTATTTTGCATACAAAGTATACTGCATTCTGCATTGTTTATTCCTGCCATAATATAGAATTACTGTAACAGTAATTACATAACAGTTTTCTCCTAAAAATGATTTGTTGCTCAAAAAACTGTTATCCTATAGCAGTAACTACAGTAGTTTTACACTGGAAAGGAAAGTAACATAATGTTAAGATCGTGACACTCTACTGGCGAATAGAAAAATGTTCTAAATGAATGTCCAGGCTACTATCTGAGCATCTTTAAAAAATTTGTTAGGTGGATATTTTCTTGCTATGGCACAAGTGACACTCAAGGTGCAGAATAGTTATGTAGAGCAATGGTGATGACAAGATAGCTACAGCCTCAGTCACACCAATTAGAAGTAACTGATATTTTTAAAAATCCACTCTATACTCCCTTTTCTTATCAAGCATGCATTCTCCTTATTCTGAGAAGGCATAGCAAAGCTTTCTCACACTGATATTACTTGGTAATAACAACTGAGTTATATCAACAGGCTATAGTCTAATGCAGTGGTTCTCAACCTTTTTAATGCCGCGACCCCCAACCGGTCGTAAGTCGATGACTACTCAACCGGTCGTAAGTCGAGGACTACTCAACTGGTGCAGCACCGTTTGCAGAATGGGACTTTTGGCGGGCTCAACAGGGCAGAGACAGCCTGGACAATTCCTACTGGCTTTTGAAAGCCAATAGAATTAGACTCTATTCAAGAGAGTCTATTTTATTGGCTTTCAAAAGCCAATAAAATAAAAGGGAGTAGTATCGCTAAGGAAAAGGGGAAAAAATGGCAGACTGCGTTGTTTGGTGACTCCTGTGAAATGGTCGTTCAACCCCAAATCGGGTCCCGACCCACAGGTTGAAAACCACTGGTCTAATGCTCTTTTTTTCACATGATACGGCTGGACCCATTCCTGTGTTTAAGAAGGAATCTTCTGGATGAATCTTGGGCCGCCTTATTTCTTCCCAGTTTCTGCTACTCAAATGATTAGAGGTAAGTTATAGAGAAACAGCCTAAAAACTGTATACAAGGAATTACTGATTAAAAGTTTAGGATTTTCAATCACATTATCTACTTGTTTTCTCATTAAAATAAATGTTTCTCTTATGAACTCAGATTCTGTTTCTTGCATTGATATGTGTTCTGTGCTAATTCCACCCACGTTTCCCACTTAGTTAATGTTTGGCTTCAGTTATTTTCAGTCTTCTCAAGAGGGCTGTGGGAATAGCTAGTTTGGAAATACATCCAATAGTTGATTTTCATAAAATTGATATTTTGGAAAATGCTTTTGCATGCAGCTTTAACTCAAATAGTATGCAGCCATTATGCAGCACTAGTTGCAAATAATTTCTTTCTTAAGTTGCTTAATGTCTGTGCTTGTTGGTTCCTTATTAGATAATAAGAAGGATTAGTTCGATATGGATAATAAATACATTTTGCAAAGACAATCTCATCCATAAACTTCTGAGACTATTTATGCACATATATACTGCAAAATCAATATGTCTCTTGGGGGGGGAAAAGCAACAGAATTTCACATTTAGGTGGTGATGTCCATAAAGGTAGAGTTTTAATTATTGATCATAACTGACAGTAGCCTCCAAATCATCACCATTCTCCAAGTAAAAGAGTTCTTAAGAGTTAGTGAGAAGAATGCTCTTACATATGATCCTGAAAAGGAAAGTGACCTTGGGAATCCGATGAAGATAAATTATTGCATCTCTCTCAGTTGCCTTGGATAATGGCATAATTGCAAATTGGGCAAATGCCACGTTTTAGCAACCAGCGGTCAATACATCTTTTGTGGAAAATATGCCTGCAAGTTAAAATCCGGACTATCTCTCTTGGTTTGTACGTCTCTAAGCAAACCACACAAGTCTCTTCTGCCAGATCAAATTCATCCTTTTTTAACTTCCGCAGTTCAAGAGAATGAACAGCTTTTCGGAGTTCTGATTTTATCATTTGGGCTCTCCGTTCTTCATGTCTTACCATAATCTGCCCAGGAGTACAGCATATTAAGATATAAGCAACAAATGTCAAAATGAGAGAGTAGGCACAGAGATAGATCTTCCAGAGGCACTGGGTTGCACCCAGTTCAATCATGGCAGTTACTCGAATACCTTCCTGAATCAAGCGAAGAATTTGCTTTCCTTTCAGACTGCTAATCATGACAGCAGCAATCTCCCCAGCATCTTCACGAGTTAAAATGAGACTCTCTCTCTCAGCACATGAATGGTCATAGATAATGACCCCAGTAGCACCTTTCTGTGCTGCTGCCATGACTTTATCCTTAAAAGTACAGCCTCCTCTTGCGATGAAGGCAATCCAGTCTTTTGTATTTGGTGGTATGTTGAAGTTAGTCTCCACCCCACAAGCATTTTTAGCTTCACCTTCTGGGATCACCAACACACCCACCATCTTCTTGGAAGGCAGATTCTCTTCAAATAAAGCTGGATGATAGATCTCTGACATGGCCCACTTCCCCCACTGAAGTGTCAGATTCATATAGTACACAGATGGGCTTGCAGCTTGGGAATCTGGCACACCAAACATTAGGGAGAAACCCAAGGCCAATTTCCAGCAAAGTGAGATTTTTCTTCTGCAGTGATTAAAAGGCTTCATTTCTCCTTCCACCTTTTGCAAGTAGCCAGAATATGCTTTTTTAAAAAAAATCCTGATGATTTCTTCACAGTTAGAGACTTAGATAAGTAACATTTCTTGTCCTGGTATATTTGGAGGAGAGATTATTTGTGGGATCAGCCAATCCTTTCAACTGCCATGTCAAGTGATGCACTTCCTAGTATCATAAACTAACATAAACAATGGCCTAGCTAATTTGAATACTTCAAGCTTATTGGCTAAAATTTTAAAATTTGCCAAAGCTTTGGCTGTTGAGGCCAGTAATATAATAATTTGCCTGATTTCATAACTTCATTTTAATTTTTTAGCTGCCTATTTCTAGCTGAACTATTTTTAAAAAAAGAATGTTAAGTCATTGCACACTAAACATGCTGCATTTTGTACATTTATTTTACTTTCTAAATGTTTACAGGTGACATCAACGATTGATCTTCATGTCTGAGAATAATCACTATGAATAGGACTGAAATGCAACTGTGATGGAATGTAGCCTGGATTCTCAGGAAGTAGGTAACTAGTTTGTATGAGAGAAAGAGGGTGAAGACAGCTCCTCCCTCATAGTTCCCAGTATAACTTTCATGTAGGTAGTAGTCTGTCTCAGTTTGACAATATTTTATTTATAGGTGTGGAACAAGAAAGAAATCTGATTATAATTCCTTTGTATGTCCCTAGGAACACTTCATTTGTACACCAAATCTAAGCTAAATTTCCTAAACAGACATCTGAGACTTAGATATTACTATGTACTTACAGTATTTACCCACATTCTAACTAGCTACAGTTTGGACCAATAGCAGTTTAAGACATGGCTAAATTGAAAGACTTGATTTTCATTTCCTGTCCATATTATTTTAATGCATACTTTTTAATTGCTGTTCTTATTAATAGTTGGAGGGTTAAAATGGCAAACTAGTAAATGAAGTTAAAACTAGGGCTACCAAATTTAGGCTGCAGTTTTCTTTAGATTTCAGTTTTTGTATAATTTTGCTGCCTTCTAATAATTGTCTGAATTGTTGTAGCTCTGCATTGAATATAGAGGATAACCCTGAGGGAGAGAAGGAAAATCTGTTACCAAAACCACAGTCAGATGAATGAGGCTTGAGCCCAGACCAAAAACATGGTTTATGAAAATGACTCCTCAGATATGAAGATAAGAGGGAAGAAGGGAAGCATGTTCAGACTTGTAAGTTTCTTTTACTGTAACCCTATAATAAAAGTAGTATTAGTAACTTTGGCTTCCTAGCCCAGTCTGCCTTTGCAAGATTTTATGACTATAGCTGTTCTAATAAAAGAAGCTTTAGATCTACATGGTGTGTGTTTCATAGTCTGACCAATTCATATAGGATTGAAAATTAACATTAAATCAACAATCAAGAAATGAACAATACCTCAATCAAATAACTGCCAAACAAGCCAACAGTAAACAGTCCAACCAAAGAACAAAACAAAAAAAACCCAAAACCCACCATGATCACTCCCACCAACACTGACATGGCAAGTCACTAGAATATAAATTGAGAGCAAACCCGTCTCTACTGGCACTGATGATGCTACCTAGTTTGTGTAATGAAACATCTGCACGAAAACAACCAAGCTCAGAAAGCATCAAGGATTCCTCAAAGTTGTATGTGTATGTGTCTGTCTGTACCTGCACCTGTACATTTATCTATCTATCTATCTATCTATCTATCTATCTATCTATCTATCTATCTATCCATCCATCCATCCATCCATCCATCCATCCATCTATCTTGTGAGATGGTTCCCATCCTCAGACATGTAAAATCGAGGAGAAATGTGAACATTTGGCATCTATTTGATTAAATGTGACTTTTCAGATAGATTTACAGATGGAGAAATTGTTCAGCACTCCTCCTAACTCAAAATATATGTAAGGTTTGGAAAGATATCCTATGTTACTTCTGGTGGTTCCTATTACTACTGGTAATAGGAATGATATTAGATAGATAGATAGATAGATAGATAGATAGATAGATAGATAGATAGATAGATAGATAGATAGATAGAAAATCAGCCATCCTATTAAATCCATAATGTTTACCCAACATCCTTGATATATTTCACTAACAAGCAGAATCTTAAAATTCATTACGATAAAGGCCTTAATTATAATTTACATGTTTTAAATAAGCTTTGTCAGCACTAAATCAGAATATGGAGGGAATAGTGCAATACAGACCTGCAGTATATTTTAGGCTTTTATGTGTGATGTCTCCTTGTTATGCTATTGTGAACTGTTGCTGTTCTCTCTTTCTTTGCAACTACCGTACATTAACTATAGGAACCTAAAATCACTCAACAACAATAATAGTGATCTTATCCCAATATTACAAATATTATTAAGAGGAAGACTGAGAAAGATAATGGTGTAGTACTTAAGGTCTAGAAACCAGGAGAGTGTGAGTTTAGGCATGAAAGCCAGCAGAATGGAAAAGAATAACAAATATTTCGGTAACAGATTAATCCCTTCAGAGTTTATACATTTGTTTATGAAAGCTTGACATCTTAATTATATATCAAGCTTGATATAATGTTAACAACCATCCAGACAAATATTTATATTAGATTTTCTTTTATGAGCCATTAACATTTAGTAAAATATTAAATATTTAGCAATTCAATAGTTTGTAAATACTAAAATTATAATTTAAATATTTTGCCTTCATGTAAGAATATTCTACAGATTATACTAGTAACAATAAAGCTTAGGGAGGGAAGAGAGAGGGAAGAAGGAAAGAAGGAAAAGGCATTTAAAATAGAGAGTACCAATAAGGCACTGCCGCTCCCCCCAAAAAAACCAGTTTAGTAAATTGGACTACTCTATCTTTTATTTGAGATTTACAAATTAGCAAGATTACAATTCATGACTGCATTTGGACCTGTAAATTCTGTTTACCAAACATCTGATTTATGACAAGCTAGACTGGAAAAAAAATCGTTATCGTTCCAGAAGAAAGCAGTACAACACCACTTCCATATTGCTGCCAAGAAAATTACATGGATATATCCATGAGGTCACTAATAATTAAGCTTAACTTGAAGAGATGTAAATTTTACTTTTGCTGACCCTGATGATAAATATCTAATACAGCCACAGATCTTAAGGTGGGATATGCCCTCTTTTGAAACAGACCAAGATTAAATGTACATGCAAATCATGTTTTCTAATTCATGTTGGACTTATTCATGTTTTCTTATTCATGTTGTTACTTCTCAAGATGAGTTTTATCCCAGATCAAAGCAATCAATTTTCAAAGGGCATAACAGATTGAAAGAACGGAATCAAAATGAAGCATGTAATCAGTCAGATGGACTCATTTTTGTAGTCACCCAACAGTGATTTCACTGAGGCAGAGATAAAAGAAATTGGTCTCTCCTGAGATAATAGTACAGTAGCAAATCAGAATGTGATACTCTTTTGTAAGAAATTGATCAATTTTCCCAACTCCATAAGGGGTAATGGTTTCTATTATTACAGAGGAAAAAAACAAAATACTTAAACAAATCTAAGTTATTTACTATTTTATGATGTATTAAAATAAAACATGTATAGGGCTGAATTCCATGGACCGCTATCTTGTAATCCCATACTACAGCTCTTAGATTAAAAGACATACATTTAGAATTCCAAATTTGCCAGGATGAATTGGAACTCCAATTCCTCTTCCTAGAAATCCATTAGTTTAGGGTTCCCCAGTAACCCCATCAGACTTTTAATGCTTATTCAAAACAAAGGAGGGAGCATTTTTTTAATTAAAAAAAATATATTCTAATTACATAAACAATTCACTAAATAAATTGGGAAAAGCTAAAAGGAGAGGCAAGAGCATCTAAGTGCTGTAGAAATGCTAAGTTTTCAAGAACAAATACTTGCTACTAAACTGCTTTATTTGAACTAGACTGATCTCTCAATTAGTCACAACTCAGACTGAAGAGCATCAAAAATTCTCTTTCTATCAGCCCTTCAAGTTGTTCTAAACTTGTTTTTCATTTTGTTTTTTGGAGGATTTTTGTAGAAGAAATAAGAGATTCAGGACCTTAAAAAGTAGATCTGGTTCTGCAATGTGACAAATATTTTGTTTCTAACACCAGGGCTCACCAATAATACCCTCTTGTTCCTCTTGTTTCTTCCTTTGTGTATATTGTGCTATGAATGTCAATTCTTAAGGTTGACTTTCCATTTTTCAAGTCATAGACATTATATTATAAACATCATTATTAAGATTTGAAATAATACCCCCTAGGATAATACAGTAGTCGATCACCATGAGTAGTAGGAGCACACAGTTTGTCAACTCTACAATGACCTGGCTGCAGCCATTTTTCTCTTCATTCTAGGCGGCCACATAGAATGGAGGGGGGGGGGCTTGCCCAAGTGCTTCACTAGTCAAAATAATTTCCTGTCCTGTGGGAACCAAGGTCATCTACTGCTCCCATGACCAGGGACTGGGCATTGTATAAAAAAGCCCGTGAAATGAATACATTGGGGAACATAGTTGATTGCGTAGTTTTGTGGATGGGACATTATACTTTGTAACTGGGTAATTTTTAGTTGGCAATTCATACTTGGCTTCACTTTTGATCGTGCCAATACTTTGTAACTAATAAACATGTTCTTTGAGGAATTTTCAAGCCTTGGAGTTCTGCTTTATTTGTTTCTGTCTGTTGGAACCATGACATTAAACCAAGTCCCCTACAACTTTAGTTTTTTGGGGGTGCTGGGTCCCGACTGCCTACCCATCCTTTGGGAGAGCGGTGAAGACTTGGCGAAAATTTGAAGATGGAGAAAAAGAATGGAGCCATTGCTGGTCGCAACGGAATTCCGTGTCATGGTTCTGACAGATGAAACTCTTCAAAGAGTTTACCTTAAAGAATCTTTATTTGAGCAGCATAGCATCAGCACATAAGCGAAGCCAAAATCTGGATTCCCCTTCCTTTAGCACATAGTATCAAAACACAATTCCCTCTTCTAATTAACAGTCATAAATCACATTCTCCAATTAGTTTGAAATGCAGGCTTTCCCTCCTGTTCTAAACCCACCATTTCTTATCATCTCTTATTTCAAAAGCCCTGAATTCACACACTATTACAATATTGTTATGTCTAACTAACTCCCATCACATTCCTCCTCCCCCAGTATCTAATTCTAAGAGTAAAGCATAAGAAAGAAAAAGGCTACATCTCTATATGTTGTCAAGCAAAAACATCCAATATTAGCAGCGTTGACACTCTGGCTGTTGGAGCACAAGCAGCTGCTCCAACCACCAAGGAAGCATCACTGGCAGGGGCTCGGCCAAAGTCCAGGTTGATCCAACCTGGAAAGCTGGTACCATAAGGGGGAACTACAATCCTGGCTGCTCCTCAACCCAGGAGCACTCCTGTCACTGCTGAAGAGGAACTCCTGTTGCTGCCATCCCAGGGGTTTTTATCCATGGCATACCAGAAGGGAAAGGGATCGATTGGAGGGGATGACTCTGGAGACTGGAAGTTCCAGTCCACAGTCCACAGCCCCTCGCTCCTGAAGGAAAGGTTTAGGAGGCCGGAGGTAAAAGAGATGGTTCCTGTCACCCAGTGTGTGTGCAACATGGGGGGGGGAATGCCAAGAGTTACCCATTTATTCCCCCCCTCGCTGAAGTCCCAGCCCGATTGCTGGAGCCTGTGCCACCTCATCTGTTCCCCAGCCAGCTGTGTTGTCAAGCCCTGTATCCCAGCCAAACCCTCTGCCGTGGCCTCAAGCTATCAGTCTAGGAGCCCAGCCAAAGAAAGTCCAGAGAGTGGTTTGGCCACATTCCAAGGACCAACAAGCAGCCCAGCATCAGGTGCAGGTGGCTCCGCCGAGGTTTGAGCCACCTCCCATCAAACCCACCTTTGATAGGGATCCCGAGAAGCTATCCTTCTTCCTAAATCAAGTATGGGCTCATCTAGATCACTATGCTTATGACTATCATGATGCCATGATGGTGAATGCTGTGGCTGCCAATCTAGAGGGGGAAGTGGCTGAGTGGGTGACCAACCTCCATAATGAAGGGGCTCCTGAGCTGCAGGATGCTAACCTATTCATGGAGCAACTTAGAGGCCGTTTTGAAGACAAGTCCCAGAGCCTGCTGGCCAAGAAGGAGATCCATCATTTGAACAAAGAGGCCGTCCCACTAAGGAATATGTTCAAGAATTTATAAGACTTGCTAGTTGGCTGGGGCAGTGGTTGGAACAATCATTGATCAACTACTACAAGCAGGGACTAGACTGCGACTTGATCCAAGCCTGCATCTATTGGGGCATTCCCAATCAATTGCGGGAGTGGTACAGCATGACCTTGATGCTGGACATTGAACTGGAATGTCCCTGAAAGCC